TGATTGCAGTTTAAACTTAATGGAACATTAATTAGAATTATACGAAACCCATTTTTATTTTATACAAACAAAACCATAAACCACTTATATAGAGAGGGGAGGAAGAAAAAAAAAATAAGAAAAGGGAAATAATAAAGAAAGGAAGAATGGAAAACCTAACGCCACTGCCTTACTCCACCCTCTCGACAGTGGTACTAGGTTTATAGATAGTAAAAAGGGGAAAGAAGAAGTAGAAATGGCGTCGTGTCCAGTTGAAACTTGGAGGATTCGACACATGTCCCATGCCTGTACCCATATCGACACAGGTACTCCGACCATTTCAAAGAGCTCGAGCATCCGAGTCTCAAAAAATTATGCCATGATTTACTATCAAGATCATTATATTCATAGACTAAATCCTATGATATATGAGCACGGAATAGAAGTTCTCCAAAGGTAAAAAATTCTTGTAAATGTCCATCTAAAATATAACGCCAAAGATACTTTTTTTAACACTCTTTATTTGACTTGAACTACAAGCTTGGATCCTCCAATTCAATTTTTGCCATTAAGATAAATTAAATCTTATCTCAACCTACTAAATAAAGGAAGAAAGAGATAAACCCTACAAACAATATCTCATATTTGTTTATCTTAATATTGAGGCCTTAAAAAAATCAATGCAGGTTAACATTTTAAGTCAATCTATACTTGAGCATAATTCTTACTCCTACAAAATATGGGGACACACAGTTCAATTGATAAACGAGCATTAACCTCAAGTCCAGAATTTGATTGCAAATCAGAACTGTCAGAAGTCGAACTTTCGTCGTCTTGTATTCCAATGGGATTATAACGAGATACAAAGTAACTCGTGTCATCTGCACTGTCAGGTTGTGGAACAAAGGCAGCCTATGGGAAACATTTAATTGGCAAATCAATTACAAGGAAAATAAAATCATTTTGAAAAAGAAAACACTACACCAATGATTCATGCAGTATGCTTGCAGAAAGAATAAGTGGGTAATCAAAGGCAGTGTTTTTGAATCTTTATATTAACCGAGAGCGAGGACATTATGAAAAGCCAATTACAAAACTAATCGTCCTTCAAAACAAAGAGAGAGATGTATCTGAAAGTTTATTTGCAATATCGGAGAGGATACCAGAACATTTATAGATATACTTTAGTTGTTGTAGTAGGATATAAACTGAGTGCCTGCAGTTCACTTCCACGATTCAGTATCCTGCTATTTTTTAAGATATGTTGACAACCTCATAAATTTAAGATATGTCGACCTCCTCATAAACATAAATACACAAAATCTTGGAATTCTTGCAAATATAGCATATGTTTGGCAAGCGTTTATAAACATATAGAAATGAGTGGTGAATAAGTGGATAGTACTCGTGTATCCCACGAAATATGGAGATGAAGTGGTTTGACTTTTATGTTTATAAACACTTGCCAACATGCTAATAATTATTTCTGGTTTTGGATAATAAAGGTCAGTCATAAATCTCATAAAAAAACTTTCTAAGTACATAAAGAGGTTTAAAAACTGCATTGCATTTAAAAAAAAAAAAAAAAAGAGTTTTTTGACTTGGATTTGAATATGACAACCACAAAAGGGCTTTCAGAATGTGCTACATCTGTCTAAGGATGAATGAAAGCTCCCAAAAAAAAGAGAACAAAGAAACAGATACAACATTTTGTTGTTCAGGCTCCTCAAGTTTATTTTGGTGGATTAAACCAAAATCCATCATAACAAGATAATCCGATATGGTGATTATATCTCGTGACATTTTGATTGCTGCAATCACAGCAGCCCTGACGTGGGGGTGGGCGGCTAAAATTTCAAATTGAGGTGGGCAAAGATATTGGACTAGACTCATATAAAAGTTTTTCCCACATTCACGTATCAGGGTGGGCTTTGGCTGAAAAGCAGGGAAGCACCTCCCCTCTCCCCAGATCTTCCCCTGGGCATGCAATACAGCCTTAAGACATCCATTTACACTTGATTTAACATTTATCATGCTGAATACGTGCCTCATATACCACCACCACCAATTATGATTACAGCTCTGACAATATTAACATCATTAACTGCAATAAAATTTTTGGCTCCCTACCACCGTGAAGGCATGTCGATTGAGCCCAATAAAACTTTTATTATAAAAGAACTGGTGAATTTACATCAGGGACATGTATGCTGCAAAGGTTGCCATATAAAATAGCATTTATATAGGAAACGGTGAGGGCTTGCATCCTGACCTTCTGCAAGGCAAGATTATCCCAGTCCACTCCTGTGAAAAAGGGATGTGATTTAACCTAGGAGAAATGAGGAAATGAGAGAAGTCAGTTTGCATTTAACAGTTCATCTTCCAGATCATCACATGTGTGAATAATTGTCCATCTTTGTGAGTGAACATAAAGAATAGATAGTTGAAACATGGCACCTCTGATGCTCCCTTTGCTCCTAGACGCTGATTAGGATCATGAACAAGAAACCTGAGAGTTGGTCAAATACTAATGATATTAACCAGTTGATGTCCACCGAAAAAAGATAAAAATTAAAAAAATAATAATAATATAATAAAGGAAAGAAAGAAAGAAATAAAGAAAGAAACAGACGAATAAGCACACAGTAGGTGGTTAGTAGAGGTGATCAACAACAATGAAATCAAATGGCCTAGCTCATGCCAATATCATGAAGGATGAGCTAATGCAAAATGTGCATTCAGATTTCTTCTAATTCTATTAAACCATGTAAACTATAAAACTTTCTGTAGTGTTTCTCTATTGAAAATATCAATTTCCTCTGGCTACAGGTCCAGCGATCATTATTAAGCATTCAATAGATGTTTTAATTCTGTCTGAAAATGTTAGTGATTACATTCGACACAGATAATTTAAATTGGAGCAAAATAAACTCTCTATTGACAATTTTGTTGTTATATCTATGGATTAACTCCAATTGCATTAACCAACCTGTCAATCAAATCTTGGGCCTCGTAAGACATCTCACTGGGAATAGATGGCCAGGGGATTTTTCTGTTAAGAATGTTGTCGAAGATTATCTGTCAAGTCAAGAAGATGGTGAAATGTTAGGAGAACAAAAATTCGAACTCCAATAGATGAATGATGTAATCTCATCACAGATCATGGAAAGACGAGGGAAACAATCACCAAGAAGCAAGAAACTATTGCATTACCAGTTGAAGTTAACAATGAGTTAATATAGGAACAGATTATTTACATTCTCCAATTGGAGAAAAACACTTAATCCAGGGCACCAGGGGCGGATATAAGGGGGTATGGTATGGGCTTAGCTAGGCAACCCATCTTAATTTTTCTTATAAATAAAATTAGCACAGCTTAATTTTTTTTTTTTTAGTCCAGTCGTACTTTGATTCATAATTAGTTTCTTCAATAATCCTATTATTGCAATGCAATAAAATTGATAATTCATTATTGTAATAATCTCACACCAAGAAAATACATTGGATGATAAATTTAGGAGTTAAGTAGCAGTTTAACAATATAAGTGAAACAGAGATGCACACAGAAGCCAGCACTTTCCCACAAAGATGGAAGTTACACACAGACTTCTCATATTTGATAAACAGTTAAACAGAGAATCTATTAAATATTTGAGGAGTGTAAAATGTTAACAGGTTGTTGAGATACTAAAAGTTCAAAATTGTACAGCAAGAAGCTAAACATCGACTCAATTGGTGCCATATCTACTTGGCAGTGTATATGTATATCCTCATTACTTATTCCTTTAGAGCTTCTCCGAGACTCTCTAAATACAAAATGCTCTTTATTTTAAGAGCTAATGATTAAAAATAAGTTCTAAAAGACTATTTTAACTTTTTAAAATAGTACGTGTGTTTGACTCTTTAAATTTAGAAAGTCAAACTCACTTTCTATTCTTAATGTACAATGATTACATTTAATAAGTTACATATTTCAATACTCTACTTCTTAAACTATTCAAACCACATTTAATTTGATTGATCATTGACATATAAAAAATTATGTTAAATAAAATATAACGAGAAATCAATAAATATTTCTTGAGAAAAATAAAATAAAGAGCCAAAATAGAAAGCATCTTGGAGTGCATAAAAATTGACTCCCTAAATTTAAAGATGTTCTTTATAATGTATAAGATGCTCTTTATAATTAAATGACCTAGGAGATGCTCTTACACATCCATTTTAATGTGCTTATTTTTTGCTAATAACATTTTGGATATTTTGTCCTTCAAAAAAAGTGAAGATAATTGCGCAACAAAATAGCAACCAGGCTCATTCCACATTCTTAGTGACACACCCCTTTCGGAGGCAGTCAGTAGCTGCATTTCAATGGCTAAAGGCCGCTTCAAATGTTGTCTCCATTCCCATGAAAAAAATCAAAATTTAAGAAACCAAAGGAACCATTTAAAATCAGTCAGTTTCAATAAATACATGCTAATCTTCTCTGTTACAAGGAACATGTGAATGTGAATTGTCTTCAGTAAAGATGAATAAAGAAAATCTATAGAAAATTCAGAAGCAGCATGGTTACAATAAAATATCCAAGTCGTATATCTGAGAAAAAACTATCCATATAAATATATTTGAGTTTTGTTTCATTCTTGCCACATCTATATAAAACTAGATACATGCAAAGAACCTAGGTACCTAATTTGTGGCATGGGGACATAATCTTGTCCATTCTACAAATTTCATAATACAGTTTCACCAAAGATTAGGATCAACGATCAAGTTTATGACTAATTTCACATGGCTACACATCCATTACTTATTCTGTTATTCTAGCACGGCTACACATCCATTTTAATATGCTTATTTTTTGCTAAATTCATCTTTTGGACATTTATCCTTCAAAAACTCAACTGAAGAAAATTGCATAACAAAATAGCAATCAGGCCCATTCCACATATTCAATGACACATCCCTTCCAAACTGGTCAGGAGCTGCATCTGAAAGGGCTAAAGGCTACTTCAAATGTTGTCCCCATTCCAATCCCGCTCAACTGCTAAGGAACAACAACTCATAAAAATGCCTTAATACAATGGCACACCACTCATCACTACACAGAACACGTAATCTGCAGAAGTTCGTACAAGATTTAGCAAATTAAGTATCTTTACATGATTAAAATTGTAACAAATACCTCTGGATTCTCGGAAGTGAATGGTGGAATTCCAGTAATTAACTCAAATAGGATAATTCCAACAGACCACCAATCTGCAGCACAACCTGCCAGTGCACCCAAGAGGTAATATCAGGACTTAACACATCTTTTTCATTTTTTTCAGTTCTGTGTGTTAGTGGTATGGCTGAGGGAGCAGCGGCAAAAAGAAATGGCAAGAAATCAAATAGTTGCCTGACCATGCTCCGTTCCAAGAAGAATTTCAGGTGCCAAATAATCCGGGGTCCCAACAGCTGACCGGTGATTATCTTCTGAATCATCATTGAGCTGATCAGGCCCATGTACAACATCAAATTTCTCGGTCTCTGCTCCAGATAAATCACTGGTACAGTTCATGAGTCCAATTTTTGACAATCCGAAGTCTGTAAGCTGTAAGAATCATTCAGAATTCAACAATTTATGGTCAGAAAAACTTCATATAGACATACGATGAACATCTTATGCACCATGTCCACAGCCTTAAAACAAAACCCCGTTATGCGTATTAAACATCTCCACATTTATACTAACATTTGTGTGTACATATTAATTCAATAGAGATAAAGCCATCAGTTATTATTTCTCCATAATCATTCAAGATAAATAATTAAATTCAGAATAAAAAGACAGTTATCAGTAAACACCATAAGAACATAAAAAGATTTAGCAGTACTAGCCAGTTCGATAGCCTCATAGTTGTTTTAGGGATGCACGTGTTGACTGTACCACCATTTCATCCATTTATTTGAGTTGCTCCTATTGGAAACTTGATACAAATGAGAATTTGGAGGTATTCAGTATCTCAAGATACTTCTATATCCTATTAGAACTAAATTTTCAGTTAGAGGTACCATATCAAAACTGTATGTCTTTCTGGTTGCACTTTCAAACAATAATATCATATGTGGCCTGTGCACCTATCAAACATTTTTCCGAAGTTAAAGATTTTAATTTATAGGGAATAAATCTAATACCTTGATATGCCCATCTTGTGCAATTAGTATGTTGTCTGGTTTCAAATCACGATGCACTATTCCAAGAGAATGAAGATATTCCAATGCAAGGACCTGAAATAAGCCAACCTCTGCTTATAAAGGTGTTCAGAAGCTCAGAACATAATTATGATATTGTTCCAAGAATACCAGTTCTGCAATGTAGGAACGAGCAACAGATTCTTCGAGGCAAACAACTTTTTGGAGCAAAGAGTATAAATCTCCACCATTGAGATATTCCATAACCAAATAGAGGTTGTCTCTACTGGTAAACGAATAAAAGAATCGAACCTGCAGCAAGAAAGATTTCTGCTATGTTTTACAATACCCAAGCATTTCAGGTTGTCTACATATTCTAGCTTCATAGAAATTAAGGTGTTCATCAACATTCAATTTTCCAATGATCTACTAATTCGATAGAAAATTAAGTAGGCACTGAAAGAAAGTGTCCTCGTGTTGGACTCTCTCCCAAGAATGCCAGTTTAAGTGGATATTAAATAGAGAATTGGACATTACCACAAAAGGATTTCGTACAGTGATCAATATATTCCTCTCGGCCAATATGCGATCAATATCATTCTTCCATAACATATCCAATTTCTGGAGTACCTGGATTAAGAACAGACCAAATTATATTGAAACCATTTTGCATGAAACCAGGAGTCTAGGGTATCGGTGTACAAAAATGATAAACGCTCTAGGTGAAGCATCAATAAGTGAAGACTTCGGATGCTACTGTCATTGCCTGTATAACAATGGATTTTCAAATATATTTAATTGTTTGAATTTTAATAATGCAGGATCCAAGGGATAACTTTTTCCCTACATAACATAAGTCATAAATACAACAGAGTGATGAAGTGATTGCAGTTAATCATATTTTGCCTGGACTTCATTTATGACTAGTCATCGAAGAACTACATTCCTTCGTAAAAACAATGAATTGGAGCCTACATACAGGTGTCTACGCTAATTATAGGGGAAAGATAAGAGAAAGGGGACAGTGGCTGCCTGGCTGGTGAATGAATATCTATATAAACATCACCAGTGCATCTTCATTATACGCATGCATGATCATGTTTGGCAATAATGGTAAATACGTGCCTGAGTTATGCCTGTTTCAAGTACATTAAAACATTGTTAGATATATTTATACACGGGTAACCAAATATGACTCAGCTGTCCCTTACAAGGAGCATAAATAGCTGACAGTTGAACGTCAAAAAGGACAGAAATTGCTTGCATATTCCCATTGGAGATGATATACATAATATTTACCATTTGAACAACGAATTCCTCCACGTACGCTCAAAACCAAAGCTCAGAAAACTACATCTAAGCTTGAACCATATATGTTGATATGGTGTTTTTAATTTGTAGAAAAAGAACCAAAAGCGTATGGGGTTCCTGCTGATATGTTCAGTGCCATCAGCTTGATAATGTGATGCATGATGAATTAAAGAATAGAAAGAAAAAGCAAGAAAGAGGGGGAGAACCGAAGAGAATAGAGGGAGAAACCGGAAAAGAAGTAGAAATTCATAGGGAAGGGAGAGGAAGGAGAAGCCATAGGCAACAAACCACCAAAATATTTTTCAATTCATCGAAAACTAAAGCAAATTACCAAGAAAATTACATGGTTATAAACTTGGACGTGGGTAAGTTTTGATGATAGACTAGGAGTTTGTATTGCTGGATTTAGATCAGTAGATCAGTTGGGTGGTGTTTACTGGGCTTGAATGGTTGCGTGGGAATGAGATTTTATCTTGATAAAGGGATAATGTTGAAGAGCAGCATATAGCAGAAATAAAATAGCAGCTTGTGACAAAAGACTTCTTGATGGTACGGATTTTAAAAAAAAGTAAAAATCAAAACAAATAAAAATCAAAAAATAAAAAACTGAAATCGGGCGTGAACCATAACCACGAACAGTAACTCTTTTTTTTTTTAAAACTAACAACAAAAAACTTTTTAAAAAAAGAAAGTTGCTGCTGTTAAAAAAAAAAAAGAAAGCTGCTGCTGTTACCAAGAATTATTTCCGCTTGTGCTGTTCTAGAACTTTAGGGAATGTGATAGTGGTTGATGATGCATGACTGTGGATATGGCGGAGGCGCATGAGTTTGAGAATATGAATGGAAAAAATTCTAGAATATAATTAATTTATTTCCCAAGTTTTAGCTCTGATACTAAATTTGATGCAAGACGAATTAAAGAATAGAAAGAAAAAGCAAGAAAGAGGGGAGAAACGGAGAGAATGGGGGGAGAAATTGGAGAATAAATAGAAATTCATAGGGGATAGGGGGAGGGAGAGGAAAGAGAAGCCATAGGCAACAAACTACCAAAATATTCTTCAATTCATCAAAAACTAAAGAAAATTACCAGGCACATTAGATTTAAATAGTAAAAATAAAACCCTAATTAGAATGGACTTGGGCTAATACAAGCCCAATTACATAAATAGAATTTAAAATATAAATAAAGTCAAACTAGAAATAAATAAAAAATGATGTCCTCATCATAATGTGTAGAAGCTCTTCCACTTCACAGTACCCTTGGAATATGAAGACTATGATGCTACAACACAAGCGAACCATGCCTACTGAGCATTTTCTTAATTAACTGAGATGCTCTGAGCTTTTTTCCCCGCCAGGATAAGCTATTAGGCTGTAGCAATATTGAACAAGCAAATTTAAGACAATCGGACAAAAACTAAATCTCCTTTTCCACCAAAAGATTCAGTTTAGTGCCTATTTGGAGGAAAACATATTACAACTAAGCAAGTCTGCAATTCATTTCCCAAAGAACAATGTGATTAGCATCGCATAAAAACTAAATGTTCCTAAATCAGTCAAACAGAGTCCGTAAGCCATACCACCGTCACTACAGAACACCATCTTATAAACAACAAGTACCTTTATTGCGAAGAAATCCCCCGTTGTTCGTTTTCGGGCCAAGAATACTTTTCCATAAGCTCCGCTGCTGATTGGCTTAATTATATAAAAATCATCAATGCTGGTTCGATCTTTATGTGAGGGTTGTGAAGGGGTTGATGGTGTGCTACTCTGAGAAGCACTGTCCAGCCATGGTTTGAAGGTTTCTGGATATCCGGTATCATTAGTTATATCCACTAGATCACAAGCAAGTACATACTTCTCTCTGCATGTAAGAAATGTTAATTACTTCAATGCAACATCAATATAGAATATCTTATTCTCTTTCTTGCCCTTCTATATATACTACCTCAGAAGATTCTCTATTCGGCCACCGAAAGTATCCACTATGA